ACTTAAATTCTAGTGTGTTAGAGGCTGCGGCTCTAACCAATGGCTAGTGTGTTGTAATTATATAGTGCGGTTGAATGAGCTGAAGGGAATAATTCATGGTCAAGTCAAAGATTCTGCAGGGGTTAGCGCTTGTAGAAACACTGTCATTCTAAAAACACTTAGTGGTTTCTAGTTGTTCCTCCTGCACAAAGTTGCATTCGTTCCCTATAAATGACTCACAAGCAGAAGTTTCTCTGTTTGATGAAGTGCGCTTTTAATTGCACTCCTTGATAATTCTCACATTGAGGTGTTTCGAACGTGTAAAACATTCTGTTCCTTTTATTGTGCGTCTTTGCCCTCCATAGTGTTTTCTACCTGATAAGCATTTTATAATGTCCCCTAATTGTCTCCTGTGCACAAACACCTCCACTGTTCTCCAGGCTGCTGTCCTGGAGCCTCCTGATAAGAGCATTAAGAATTAATTACCCTGTTCCTCACTGTAAGCTGCTGCATTGGTATGTGGAAGTGCCATGTGCAAGTGTCTGATCCTCTGCCAGGAGTCCTGCTCTCTGGCACAAATGAAAAATGGTTAATGAGTTTCTTTTGTTTAGTGGTTTTGGATGAGGGGGAATCTAAATGGGTCTCAGGATGCTATCTGATTGCCCTGCCACAGTCTGTCCAATCCCATTGTGCTCAGCTGAGGCAGTGGCGGTTGTTTGGTTTCAGTATCATTCTGGCTAATTCCAGGTTTTACAGAAAGCTTAATTGACTGGGATGAGAAAATGGCACAAAAACACACGGGCGGCATTTTACCCACACTCACATTCGTAGCCATGTTATAGGAATCTTCCTAGGAGTGGCAGTGTTGGTCTGTCAGTCAATTCAATTTTGCAGAAATAATCAGGCTCCTCAGAGGCTGAATCTTACTGACCAGTTCTCCCTGTAAAGGTTAATCTAGTATCACCTGCAGATTAAATATTTTATTGAACCAGTGAAATATCACAACATCTACAGGATCGAATATGAAATACTTCAATGACCACAATAGATACTCCATCACTGACCGTAAGAAGCTGAAGCATAAAAGTTTATTTTCAAGCACTTTTTCAAAATTATCAGCAACAGTTTGTGTAGCATTGTATCAGCAAACGTTGGCATGCTAACAAAGGTGCTAAGATGACAGTGGTGTCTTAGTCATGGCCTCAAAGAAGTAGATGATGAACTTGCCAGTATTGGCTTCTTCTTTTCCAGGCTCAGCGACGAGGTTCCTTCAGTGAGGCAGACAGCTGTGACAGTTCTTACTCAGTTGGTGCTTAAGGATGTGCTCAAGGTCAAAGGTCAAGTCAGCGAGGTGGCTGTGCTGCTAATTGACCCTGAGCCCCACATTACCAGCCTCGCCCTGAACTTCTTCAACGAGTTGGCCACCAAGGTACACACACACACATTCAGAAGCCCTACTGTAGAGAGGATAATTGGAAGGTTTTCAACTCTGTCGTTATCCATCAGGACAATGCGATTTACAACCTGCTCCCAGACATCATCAGTCGTCTGTCTGATCCAGAGAGAGGGATGAGCTCAGAGGACTTCAACACTATCATGAAGTGAGTTGCACAACCTCATACTGCTGGACTCTGCAGGGTCCAGATGAAGCGTGTCTTGTTTATTACCCTTTCAGGAGAAATGACATCTTTGCTGTTCTGAGAGCTTTGTTTAGATGCTGTGTTGTTTGTGTGCTTTCAGACAGTTGTTCTCCTACATCACCAAAGAAAGACAGACTGAGTCTCTGGTAGAGAAAATGTGTCAGCGCTTCAGGACTGCCAAGTGAGTACATCTCCACCTCCTATTTCCCATCTTCACACCTCTGACCTGTATCTTTGTTTTTTTCCCAGCTCACTATTGAAGCCTAATCCAGCAGTATATCATTTGTGCTAGATGCAGGGGTGGATGTGTGGGTAATTAGTGGTTGAAGAGAGATCGACAATTACAGCGAGTTCACAGTTCAGTTCACCTGTCGCCTCCAGTCTGATTTCTTCTTTTTCACTCACTTTGTCATGGAAACTGTCTTCCCATGTAGCTGAGCAGTGTAGACAAACAATTGGCCCTGCCAGGCTTCAGTCTGCCTCTGACTCATACTCCATCCGTACTCCAGAGCTCACAGGAAGGGCATTTTATATTAAACAATGGCAAAGTGAATTTAGATAGAAGAGGTTCCTGGAAAATGAGATTTGGTCCGAATGCCAGGGCAAAGCCCTACTCATGAGTAATGAGCTAATGAGCTTTTTTGTTGAGGATCTTGAATTTCTATGCACTTCACATAGTTTCAAATCCAGTTTAGTCTCTAATTCCAATGACTCTCATTCTACTTCTCTCCTCAGGACGGAGCGTCAGTGGTGTGACTTGGCCACATCTCTGTCTCTGCTGTCTATGTGTGAGCGTGGGTTTAAGAGGCTGCAGGAGTGCTGGGAGTGTTACAGTGACAAGTTGACTGAACCTGGAGTTTACCAGCCTCTGCTCTCCATCACTGCCAAGCTCCGTCGCGGAGCCAAAACCCAGTTTAAGGTACAATATACTCCCATTTAAAGATTTGTTTTATATCTTTGCTTGTTTTTACTGATGGTAACTTTGTTTACCAGGCTCAGGTAGACGAGTTTGAAAAGCGTCTGACAGCGGTTCACACACGGGGGCTGGAGAATGTAGAAAGCCCTGAGATGGACGAGGAAAACCAAAACGAAGGCTCCTCTGAGAAGACAGTAACACGTACCCCTTTGCCCACCAGAGGCCGTACGAGGGGCAAGAGAGGTCGGTACTCACTGGCTTTAGACTTTCATTTAAAATGTGTTGAGTTTTATTTTGACAAATAAACTTATTATTTCTCTCTCTCTCTTTAACTCAGGTCAAATTAAGCCCTCAGCTTCGAGTCATGGCGAAGAGAGTTTTGTGACGCCTCAGAAGTCTCGCAAGTCCAAGAAACCCATCATCACCTTCAGCAGTGATGAAGAGGAGGATGAGGAGGGTGAGTGCAGCCACATTATTCATTTACCATTACGCTTGAAATCAAATCCCTCAGCTACCTATTAAAATATTTGGCATGTGTAAAAATAAACTCAAATGGCATTTTCATTTTTGATTTTGATTTAATTGCTTGATTTGCAAAATTGTCAGAAAATGATAATTGCTGTTTCCTAAAGCAGGGTTCAGATAAAGACAGCACACAGTCATCTTGAGAGCTGTACTGAGAGAAAGTATATTTTTTCCCAAAATGACAAAAAAACTGATTCTCATATAAGTTGATTAATTTGTAATTTTAAATCAAACAAGTGTTTCAGCTTAGTTAAGAGCTACGTGTATTGTGCTTCATTCGATGGTATTGTTAATAAACTTGAATCCACAACTTTGTAACAGGTCAGTAACAAACTTTGGATCAATAAGACGAAGTTTGGATGACTGCGTTGAGCCACATCAGGCAGCTTCAGCTCTGAGAAGATTTGGGACGTTGTGCCTCAGTTGATTTTTGAAGTTATCTGTACTTGTAACAGCACTAATCTAAGACCTGCAGATACTCCTGTCTGAGCTGATAAGAAACAAAATCTATGAGATGAAGTCGACTTATTGTCACTTTTTTGACAATATATATTTAAAAAATTAAAATGTTAAGAGTGAAGAATTCCCACTGTTCCGGGACAGGATTCTGTGTAGCAGCTCTGTGACTTATTGACTTGACCTGTCTTCTTAATTGATTTATTTAATTTGTTTTTTCCATCAGATGCTGTAATGGCAGAGAGTGAGACGCCTAAAGTGACGACACCCATTGCCCGTACATCCAGACGAGCTCGCCTCAGAAACTGAAGCTCTTTTTTTTTTTTTAACCTTTTTTTGTCTAACTTCTGTGTCTCTTTTTAATCTTTTTATCTGCATTTTTACATGTTTTTACCTTTTAATTTTTGTATATTTTAAGATACTTTTACTTAATACCAAGCTACAGTAGTCTGACGTATGTAATAAGGTATGAACTCAGGACCTCCTTAATAAACCTGTTTGTGGTTTTGACGAGAGCTCTGTGTCTGTCTCTCTCCAAGAAGCCGACACCGACAAGTGTGAGGAGTCGGGATTATGCTGGGTCATGTCAAGTAAATTTATAGCATCATTATAAGCAGCTTTGAATGTCTGTTTGTATTATATGTTTGGACAGCAGTGTTTAATGGGCTGTCACAGCTTGCTCCGACAGTATTACTACCCCACATGCTTCACCACTTTGTTTTCCTCGATTTCTTCTTCTTCTTTTTTTTTTTTTTTTCACAGCGTATTCTGTCATATCAGATTTAAATCGGCAGAGGGGAAAACGTTCAATTCAAGTGTGGCTGAATGTTTATTTGCAGAAAATTTACTCGTCCTCTTGTTCTGTCTGTTGCCTAGCCTCTGTTCTCCTGTAATCAATCTCCTTTGTAGGTCTCCCTCCGCTCGCTGCCTGGTGCTTTTTCTCCCTCCTATCCTCCTCTTCCTCCTACTCCTCCACTGCCTACTTTTCCTCCTACAGCGCTCCTCTCTTCTCTGACATCACATACACGCTAGTTTAACCCCCTCCTCCCTCCACTCCCCTCATCGCTAATCTCTCTCCTCTTCGCCCACTCCTTCACCCACGTGTTGTCCTCTCCGAAAAGATGAGAGGGGTGCAGTTCTCTATGTGATTGATATGTTATGTAAAAACACTTTGCCAACAACAGGCTAACAATACGATTGCACTAGCTGTCGGGCTCTGAGTTTAAATGTATTCAGTGGGTGCTACATGAGTAATTTTGTATTGTTTCCAACTTACATTGCTGCAGATGAGTTCTGCTCACTGCGCATGAAAACTTTAAAATGCTCAATTGCGTTCTCTGCAGGAGGAGAAAATAATTGATGTGATTGACAGGTGGACATTAGCTCCTGTCCATTCTCTGCCACACATTTGTAATTGCAGGGGTTTATTTACTTGAAATAATTACAGGTTGTTTGAACTTCGAGGTGTGTGTGTGTTGGATGGCACAGCTCCTGCTAGCATTGTAATTTGGTGGCAGGGGGTACTGGGAGCAGATGGTACTGACAGACTGTAACTTACCCTGCAGAGGGGAGGTCAGTGCATGCTGGGAAAGACCCCGGAGACAAAGGGGGAGAGAAGGGAGGCTAACATGCACAAGGAGCATTGTTGCCACATGGCAAATGTATAATTCAGATAAAAGTAGTAACATAAAACTTGTGAATGCAGCTGGGTCACTTCGTAACTCTCACTCCAGTGATAGCTGCCCTCTGACCTTGATTTGTGCAGCACAGTGGCATCAGTGGGGTGCACGGTACACAGTCACCTTGGCAATGACAATCACTGTCCTACCATGACATCATTTCAAAGAAAAGATGAAGAGGAGGAGGAAGAGGAGGAGAAAGAGTAGATGGTGTGAGGTGTGGTGATGGGGGGGGGGGGTCATATCTTGCACTACAAAACCCCTGCAGCATCCCAGTTGATGCCCCAACATCCAGCTCCTGACAAGAGGACGAGCGAGCCGGAGAAGAGAATCGTCCGCTCAGTTCCATCACAGAGCCAGCAGTGGGAGGAGTCAGGCGAGTGAGATAGTGATGCTCCAGGCAGGTGCCAACAAGTGAGAGGTAGCCTACAGTCTAAGACGAGGGATGGAGAAGAGTCAGTGAGAGCAGAAGACACCCAGAGCTCTGAGAGAAGACAACAGGTGAGCACTACCTTCCTTTTTTTTTTAAAGAATTAATGTTAAACTAATTGGTTTACTCTTATTGGTTTACTCTTATTCATATAATAATTAATTCCCTAAAGGAAAATCACAACGAATCAAGGTAAATTTACATCGGTGGTAGCTGCAAGATTTAATTTCAACTATTTTTACTGGAAACATCCTCGTGTAGTATTGAAGTCCAATAAAATGATGTGAAAATGAAAATTTGAGGACTATTTACTACAGGAGAAAGTTTTCCTCTTAATCAGTAAGACTAATAATGCATGTTTTTACATAGAATTAAAGTCTAACCAGGGATTGAGGCTGCAAAATATCTTTGCCTTGTTGCCCCGTTAGAATCACATGTGATGTTTTGCTTCTGTATGTTATGTTCATCCGTAAACTAATTTAAAATAGATGAGCACTCGTGAAATGCTGACTTTAGAAAACTGTTTCTGTACAGCACCACTATATGGTATCAAGAACATCCACTTCATTTTCTGGAAGAGTTTTACAACTTATATATGCAGTTAGTGTTTTGAATTTATTTTTGCATTGGAATTCCTCCTGATAATAAGTAATACGTTTTGGTGTTTGCAGTTTGCGTGTTTCCAGTGTTCCTGCACCAGTCGTTCCTGCTCTCGTCTCTGCTGCCATGCTGTGTCCTGTGCTGCTCTGTGCCGCTCTGCTCCTCCTGACGCCCCTGGACATCACAGAGGCTCGCGCTCTGCATCCCTCTACTGATGCCGCGCAGGTACGGAGGAGAGAGGGGAGGAGGAGGAGGGGGGGGGGTGATAGAAAGGCAGAAATAAGAATGGACTGAGGAGGAATCAGAGTGGATGAGTAGTGGATACAAGAGAAGGAGGGGAGAGTAATGAAATGTATCACAGATTGAATTATCCTGCCTCCTACACTCCCTGACAATTCAATTGAATCTTGTCTTTCTTTCTTTCCGCTCCGCAGTTTATGGAGCAGTTTCTGGAACGCTACAATGACCTTTTGACCCTGGACGACCTGGAGAACCTGTTAAACAGCCAACCAGAGGAGCAGTCCACCTTCTCCTCCGGGGTCAAAGCTGCCGAGTCCCCCAAATGGGCCGACGTGCAAACGCAGCCCGAGACCCCCTGGCTGCGCCTGCTGAAGGGCGCCCTGGCCAATCAGAAGCGCGCAGAACCGGAGCGGTCACGGCGGGGATGGAACCGGGGATGCTTTGGGCTCAAACTGGACCGGATCGGGTCCATGAGTGGACTGGGCTGTTAGGGGAGAAATAAAGACTGATGACGTCCTTCTTAGATTATTCACGTGGGGAAAAAAACCCCACGTGAGGGCGTTCACCTGCAGAGAGGGAGGTCCACATGCCTGTAGACTACATGTAGTGTGCGTAACGGTGCAGTGTCGCTAATGTGGTTTCATCCTGCGTAGATCAGATGCTTCACACCAACGTTTAACCGAGCAGCTGTAGTCTATTACGTGTTTCAATGTTCAAACTGTGAGATGTGTTTACATCAAACTGTCATCGCTGGTTGTCGCCTTGTTTTGTTTTTTTCTAAGTAAAAATCGGCACTTTGTGTGTTTTATCCGTGACTGTGCTCTGTCACTGTGAAGCTGTGTAGACATTCTGCGGCCAGAGGACTGTGTTCCACATCAGGTGTAACGGACACGATGGCACCTGTGACTCCCGCTGGTGGTTTTCTGTTTTCCTATGATTTGCATGAATAAATGGATTTGTCATTTGCACCGCCTGTTGTCTTTTTGTTTGAGAAAATCCTCGTTCACTTTTCTCCTCCAGCCTCTCTGTTGGTTCTCTCTCTCTCTCTCTCTCTCTGTTGGCCTCATCTCGATGTGTCCTTCACATCCTCCTGACAGATGCTCGACTCTCTGCCTCTCATCAGATCTTCAGCTGAATGTTGGAGGAAGTTACAGTTTCTATCTCCAGTCATTCCGCAGTGTCAGCAGCCAGTTCTAATAACAGCTGTATAGATGTAAACCCACTGCTGCTGATTCCATTCTGCTGTTCCAGCCAATATCCTGCAGGGCAAAATATCTTATATGGAAATAAATATTCTGACGTACTGTATTTATAGAATATGTACGTACACATGACGCAATTTTATATTGAATGGTTGTTCTGGCAGCTCTTGGTAGCGATGTGCCCAGTTCAAGAAAAATACATGAACAGCTTCTTTTTGAATTAAGAGGATGTCAATTAAGGATTCCTGTGAGGATAAAAGTGGTTTGGGGTAAATCTGCTTTTTTAAAATGAACTCTTACTCTGATAGAAGGCCGTTTTTAATTTGTATACAATAAATATATAAGTGGGAATGGAGAGTCAATAACTATGTTTCAGGAAAGGCAGAAGAGGGAGATGTGCAGAACAGATACATTAAAAATGTATCAATCAAAAGGTCTCATAATAGGTTTTAAAGTTTTTCTGCTTTAAATAACTCTAATATGTTTGTGGGTCAGAATAAGCAGTTTACTTCCGATGATTTTCACAATTTTCTGGCATTTTTATAAACTAACTAAACAGATTAAAATGATAAATTTCAATGATCATTAATTGCAGCCCCATATGTCATACAATAAAAGATATCGGTACAGGTTGTCCAAGAGTTTCTTTATATTCATTCTAGCAGTTGGGTGGATATTAAAGTAGTTCTCTACGCTAACACTAGATGGCAGTCTGGGTGTATTTTTGTTTATCAGTTATCACAGAACTTTCCTCTGGACTTTGGACTGAACTTTAAGAAATGGATACAAGTCGCATAAATGTAGCTGACGTCCCCTTTTTGCACTGTCACACTGTCCAAACATCTACTGTAAGAAAACCAAAACACATTCACATTCACAGAAGATCAATAATATGAAGTTAAATCATTGTTGCTGTGAGTTTAATTAAAAATCTATATTTCTCTCTCATGTCACAGCGACCTTTCCACTGAACTAAAGTACAACATTGACATTTCACTCAGTGGTTTGCTTCTTCCATCACTTTCACATCAGAGCCACCAACAGTGGGTCGAGTTTTCCTGTTGCGGGACAGAACCATGTGATCTGTGAGCAGCAGCATTTACAGTACTGGGAGTACAACATGGTGTTCACTAGCCAGCCGTCGTCTAATCTTAGCCTGACCTTTACTTCCCCTCTTTGACCTTAAGCTACACAGCAGAGGCCAAGACTGGCATGCATGCACCCGGGGTTGTGGTAGTTCAGCTATGCCTGGACCACTGGACTGCAGCCATAAAACACACCAGCACTGACCCGTTCTGCTGAACAGTGACATGTCTGCTCGCCTGCAGCAAAAAATATGTTTATCTACGTAATCTGCTCCGTTGGAAAACACAGAATTGGGATCTTTTGGTGCTGTAAGGTATAAAAAATGTCCTGCATGGTTCTGGTCAGCAGTGGCAACAGGAAGCAACAGCCCCAGGTTAGGTTTCAATCCACTGTCAGGACTCCACAGTGGAGAGGCAGCCAGAGAAACATTTCCAACAGGATTCAACTTAACAACCCTCTGGTTTAAACTGACATCCTCATTATTCAGAGTTAACAGTCCACAATGTCTGCAGGAGTGCTCTCTTTTTAAAGAAAGGCTGTTGCCTAACCAATGTGTCGACACTCAAATAAAGAAAAAGAATTGACATTGCTGGGCCTTGTCATAATTTACAATGAATATTAAAGACGAAAGTACATTTTGCGGCAGCGTAACACAAAACCAGGATCCTTGAGTGTTCTGTTCAGACAAAGGAACCTGTCTTTCAATGAAACGCTTTTTGCATCCACCCTCCAAAACCAGACTGAAGACGCTGCCTCTGCACATGCGTGATGATCATATGATGAGAAACCAAGACTCAACATCTGACAGGCCGCCCAAAGGAAAGAGAGGAAAGGGCCAAAGAGGGGCGAGCGTCTGAAAGTGAAGGGTCATGGTCTTTGGACATTAAATGTCAGAGTCAGAAGGCAGAGATTCGATCCCTCGTCTGCTCCCTCTGTGTATCTGGATTTACTCAGAAGGTCACTCGGGGACCCCCCCACTCTTCTTTCAGTCCACTACATGAGAAGCCTCATATCCAAGCTTCTATATCCAGGCCTCTTAAAGGTGGCAACTCAAGTCAGGCTCCGTGTCTGTAACTGTAATAATGTAAACTAAACTGAATATTTCTATGCTTTCAGACTATAATTAGAGGTGGTGTGATCATTCAGAAGCTTCCAGGCTCTTTATGTGACGTGAAGTGAAGCAGAGGCCAGGGTGCGTGTGTCTCTGCAGGTTGACGACCTTGACATTCAGAGGGGGGGGCGGGCCGAGGAGCAGTGACCATTGAGGCGGGGGTGTGGCCTCCCACTCTGGTCAATCATAAAAACACTCAGCTTAACTTTGCTCTTCCCCACTCACACCCGGAGTCGCAACACAGACTGAGGCATCTCACAAACGGTAAATTTACCTGCAGCAGATTTCATGGTTTCACTGAAGGGGGGGGGGTCTGCAGGCTGCAGGGCCTCAGAGCCAAGCTGCAGATTCAGATCACCTGGGGACCTTGTGCATGGGCTTGATTGAGCCTCACTTTGAAAATGAAAGTCAAACTTGCTCACTTTGTTTTTATCTTCTTGCTTTAAATGTGAGTTTCACCCTTGAGGATTGTGATGTGATTTATTTCTACACTTGCAGGGAAAGTTTTAATCTTGCAGCTTCAGGCTGCGACTTTTCTTGGACTGTGCTCGAAGATAATCTTATCTGACAAATACTTTTGCATGTTCTTTTGAACCCTTTGCTTATCTACTCTAACAATCCGAGCAATTGTCTGTCATCAGGTCTATGCTAAATATATGGCATCATAAAAGTACGGCACTATTAATGTTGGTTTAACAGGAAGTGTAATTATTTGCTATAATTCTCCTCTTCTCTCTCCCTGCAGAGGACTAGACCAACCCAGACAAAATGGTGAAAGTCGGTATCAATGGGTAAGAACCTTTTCATCACCTTACTTAAAACTGTATCAACTGCTCAGCCCAAACATCCTTCATTAAACAAAATGCTTAACACCCAGTCCCTGCTCCCCCACAATGCTCACACAACCACACCCTTCATCACAGTATTTAACTCTTGACTTTTATAATGGTTGAGTTCAAATTCTCAAAATGCACTACTAAACTCATTTACTTATGCTTGAACATTAAAAAAATAGGTTTATTGTTAATGTCCTGAGAATTCACTGATGTGTTTGTTTTAAAATACAGAGTTCACAAATGATGAAGAATATGAAAGTTTGACTTCCACACTCATCTGTCCATTTGCTTACAAATGAGAATTAAAGCACATTAAAGAAACACAAAGGAAGGAACTGTTTGGGGAACAATGTAAAAAGTATTTTTGTTTCGTGTTCTGAAGCCAGAGGACTCTTGCAAAGAATCCACAGCCTTTATAGCCACTTTGGTTCAAGCTGTTCTTGTACTTGGCTCAGTCTTTTAATGAAACCATGAGTCATCAGCTTTGACTTTCTCATCTGAATAGCAGGACACACTGTAGTATCTCTGATTAATTAAAAGTCTCACACACACACACACACACACACACACACACACACACACACACACACACACACACACACCGACCTGTGAACAGTCGAGCGGCTGTCCTCATGTTTTTCTTGCTCTCTGAACTTTGGCCCTCAGCAGATAACAATGTGGCCACTGGCTTCGACATGGGGGTCATTCAACAGCGGATTGTTTTTCTGCTGTGTGAAGCACAGTGGTGGCGGGGGGGGGGGGGGGTGCATGTGTAACTTGAAATGCTATAGAACACACAATGTGGCGTTAAAGTCTGTCTCGTGGTTCTTTATCTCTACACCCACNGGGGGGGGGGGGGGGGGTGCATGTGTAACTTGAAATGCTATAGAACACACAATGTGGCGTTAAAGTCTGTCTCGTGGTTCTTTATCTCTACACCCACCCACTCCCTTCTTTTCTCAACCCCTGGCGTCTGAGGACAGAATGTATCTGTACCAGGATTTTGGACCTGCAGTTAAAAAGTAACTCGGCTGCTGATCAAACAGTGCACTGCCGTCACTGGGATTACCACATTGGGAGGCTCAATTCGACTTTAGCCCCCATAGAGGAGAGTGGGAGAGCTGTGTTGAGTCTGCAGCACACACCTCCCGCGGCACCTCCTCCTGAACCCTGCCCTTTCGTCAGCTGTAATTCAGGTCTCTCAGTGGGGGGGTGATATGTTTCCCACACAAAAGAAAAAAGCTGGAGCCATAATGAGAAGTAGACCTGACTGATGAACGTGAAGAACCCAGTTTAACACAATCAACCCAACAATGATTGTGTCCCTTTACCAAGCATCTGCAGCTCCATTCTTCACAGTAACTCAGACATGACTGATCACCTCAACCAAAGACTTTGCTCATGGAGTTGCATGGTGTCATAGCTCCATCTAGAGGACAGACTGAGAAACAACACTGTTCTATTTTTTTTTTCTCTCCAGATTCGGCCGCATCGGTCGTCTGGTGACCAGAGCTGCCTTCACCTCCAAGAAGGTGGAGATCGTGGCCATCAACGACCCTTTCATCGACCTGGAGTACATGGTGGGTCAAGCAGATAGTTTTAACTTATAAGGCATTAAAACATGAAATCTATAGCAGCCATAATTTATAAACCTGCTAAATTCAATGTATTTGGAGATGTTTGGTGGTAGTTGGTAGCTTTGCCTTTTCTTGGTAACTCCTCGTTAATGCAGTAATTTAGTAAATTTGACAGGAGTTGCCCTCCTCTTCTCTCGTCTGCTTTAGGTCTACATGTTCAAGTATGACTCTACCCACGGTCGCTTCAAGGGTGAGGTCAAGATTGAGGGAGACAAGCTGGTCATCGATGGACACAAAATCACAGTTTTCCACGAGTGAGTTTACTCTGCACCTTTGAATTTGGTCTTATAGCATTTTACTACTTTAAAGCCAATTTCAATACGATCACACAAATGAAAGAAATAAACATTCATTGCGGCTCTAACCCGTCTCCCCCTCTTTTTTGCAGGAGGGATCCCACCAACATCAAATGGGGCGATGCTGGTGCCCACTATGTGGTTGAGTCCACTGGTGTCTTCACCACCATTGAGAAGGCATCTGTACGTACTCAGTCCTGTGTCATCGTCCTGAACATGTCGTGTTTTCTAATTTTGTTTTGAAATACATGGGACCACACACCAAAGAATACAGAATTGATTGGATTTCAACACATTTCAGGCTCACTTGAAGGGTGGCGCCAAGAAAGTCATCATCTCTGCACCCAGTGCTGATGCTCCCATGTTCGTCATGGGCGTGAACCATGAGAAGTACGACAAATCCCTCCAGGTCGTCAGGTGAGAATCGGGAGAGATCTCGGATGGTTTGATCGATTTGGGCCTTCATATTGAAAATCTTCACCTAACTGATGCTGTTTCTTAATTTCTCCATAGCAACGCTTCCTGCACAACCAACTGCCTGGCCCCCCTCGCCAAGGTCATCAATGACAACTTCGGCATCATTGAGGGCCTGATGGTAAAGATTGGAAAAACTCTGCCTGGGATCAACTGTTCAAATAAAACCACCAACATGACTTTACAGAGTTTGGTGGCTGTTAAACTTTATCCAATCATTCTCCTTTCTCCATCTCTTGTTTGAACTATCAGAGCACTGTTCACGCCATCACTGCAACCCAGAAGACCGTGGACGGCCCCTCCGGCAAACTGTGGAGGGACGGCCGTGGTGCCAGCCAGAACATCATCCCGGCTTCAACCGGCGCTGCCAAGGCTGTTGGCAAGGTCATCCCTGAGCTCAATGGGTCAGTGCTGAAAACACATGGCTGTACTTTTATCTTCATATGATCAGGACCTGTAGTAAATCCTATGAATGAAAGTTCTTGCTCTTACCTGTGTGTGTGCATCCATATTTCACAGCAAGCTGACCGGCATGGCCTTCCGTGTCCCCACCCCCAACGTGTCAGTGGTCGACCTGACTGTCCGTCTGGAGAAACCTGTGAGTGACCAACACAAGTGTTTATGATATTATCAAGTCTGGTGATGATCAGTGTTTTTCTTACTGTTCTCTGAAAAGAACAAAATTAGAAAAGTAAAAAAAAGTACTGTCCATGGAAACAGAAGTGCTCATGTTCTGTACAGTGTTCTCTGTCAACATGAATCACTTGTTGCCAATTTAAGAAATAACATTTTCAAAGATTAAACTCTTCAAGAACCAGTTGGTTTGGATTTGTAGACACTAAGACTTAAACTAATTCATGTTTTACTACTCCTGTGTTAAACGACCTCTTTTCTCCGCCACAGGCCAGCTACGAAAACATCAAGAAGGTTGTGAAGGCTGCAGCTGAAGGACCCATGAAGGGCTATCTGGCATACACCGAGCACCAGGTATATTATTCATTTAGCTCATTTATCTTTTTAATAGATATTTGTGGATCAGTGTTTGTTAATGCATTGTTCTTTCCTCGCCTGCCCACAGGTCGTCTCCACAGACTTCAACGGTGACACTCACTCCTCCATCTTTGATGCTGGCGCTGGCATCGCTCTTAATGACCACTTCGTCAAGCTGGTCTCATGGTATGCCTTCAGCAAAGATTACTTTAATATCCACATATTTTTTTTCCCACTGATGCATATTGACCCTTTTTGTGTGTGTTACTGCTTCACCAGGTACGACAATGAGTTTGCCTACAGCAACCGTGTCTGCGACCTGATGGCCCACATGGCCTCCAAGGAGTAAACCAACCAACCAATCAGAAGTCACTGCACTACGAAACATCACCCACGTTCTCCTGAACCCAGAGTTATACATTTACAATAAGACATTGTGTTATCTATAACTCTGCCTGGTTTCCATCTGATCGTCGACCCCCCCCCATCACATGTCTGAGGAATGGTCCCACAGAGAGAAATGAAAATATTAATTGGTGACCAATTACTTTTTTATTTTATTTGTGACAGTCCTTGTTCTGTTATTGTGTGAGATGGAGTGAAGGTGTGAGAGACTGACTGTAACACTCAGGTGCTGCAGTCAGTGGAATAAAGTCCTCGGTTTGTGAGACTCCTCTTGTCCTTTCTCTCTTTTGTCACTGCACAGAATGATTAACTAAACATCCTGGGATTCATGCAGATGATTATTATGAAGTTTTGTGACTTTAGATTTAACGAACAATGAATCTAGCCCTGCAAGGCTTTTATAGAACTGATGTCCACTTATTTTCTTTGAAATATTTAATATCTGGGAGGGTTTCAGTGGTGTAGTTATTTCAACAGAACAAAAAACCTGCTTTTACATGTCAGTATGAGGCTTTTACTTTTCTTGAAATGTTGCTCGCTGATAGATCAGCATAGTTCACTTTTTCTGTATCTCTCAGATGGACAAGAGCAGCTGATGAATAAGACAATGACTTTAAAATATTACTATGGCCTGTTGGTAACACCACACATACACACACGTCTATTAAAAAATGTTATTGGCTTATTTCAGTATTTAGGTTTCTTATTTACATCCCTCAGACTTTTGGAATCAGACAAACTTGATGTTTTCTTTTTTCAAAAAACACATTCAGTTCACACCCCACCACCTGGTTCTCTTCAGCCAATCAGATTGCGTCCTGCTCTGGACTGATCCCGCCTTTCTACCTTTAAAGACGGAAGAGTAAAGCCGGTGGCGCCTCCCTGTGGAGCTCTGTCTCCTCCAGGAGCGCTGTCTCCTCCAGGAGCGCTGTCTCCAAACAACCAGCGGATCTCAGACTCTCTCTCCTGTGAACACGAGGTGAGTCCATTAATTTAGCTCTTCCATGCATTGGCTCAGGAAGATGTTTCACTCGTGGAGGAAAAGCTGAACTGAACAGAAGTGACACAGGAGCAGAGATCCTCTGTGTTTCAGAAAGAAGGTTCACTCTGCCAAAAATCAGAGAAATAGAATATGTTTGTTTATCCCTGAAAGTTGTATTTTCTTGTTTGTTGATGTCTCGACTCTTTACTATTGAATATCATTCAGACTCTCAATACTTCATGTTGTAATTCCATGTGTCTACAGACAGAAGTGTTTGTTAATTCAACATGAAAAGTTTCTTTGTGGTTGAAGTTGATTCAACATTAAATAAACGTGTCTACAGCGTCATGTATTTTACATTAAACACTATTTCACTGTGATGCATTGACCGTCTCTGGATTTAGACCATAAAGATTCGTTTTTATGGAATAAGAAGGTAAATGAGGGACTCGCTTTTGGAGGGAAACTGCAGAGGCCTCACCTCAAGGCCTGAAGGCCTCACCTGTAAAAAAAATAAAGTAAAGTAAAAGATCCAAGATCCGTTCAAACTGTGAAATGTTCCCATCAGCTCTCTGAAGCCTTTGGAGAAAATTTTTAATCTTTTAGCTGTGGAAACACGAATTGGGTAAAAAAAAGAAATATGATTACTTAAATGACAATAAATTGTTTTCTTATTATTCTATTATAATCATTTGTTCCTATCATCATCTCTTATCTTTTATTAATGAATCATTATCATTATTACCTTATTAATAGTTTATACATAACATGATTTTATTCGCTCGTGTGTTCATTACACACTTTTAGCTCCTTGGTCCTTATTTCCATCATTTTGTGCTGAACAGTGATTCCTCAGGGTGCGCAGTTAAAGAATTGGTGCGCCTCTCATCTCATCTTTACGGTAGCGCCGCTCCTCCAATCCCGCAGCACCTGCTCGTGCCCGAGCTCACATCTTGTTGCCAGAACTTCAGTGACGTGCACACGCTGGATTTCTTTGTTATTCATTCGAGCTCTGCGTCTTTTTCTTGCTTTTTTTTTGTCGCGTTTGTTTCAGCAGCGCTTCGCACCGAGCCGCAGACCCGGTGTTGGCCCGTTTCGTGTGGAGGATGTTTTGTTGCGCACCGTCGGCGACGCACGGATCCATCAGCCGCTCTGAGCTTTAAGGATAAGATTCTTATTTAGTTACGTAACCAGGCGACTCCTGGCGTCTCTCCGGTTTATTCTGATTAAATCCAGTCATCGTTTTCTGTCGCAGAAAGAACATTCCCGTCCGTGTTCATGCCAGATCTGCAGCGCTTCAGTTTTCCATACCATAGCATGAATCCTTTGTTGGGGGCCAACGCGCATCTCCAACAACACCCACCGCAGATCCAGTCGCCCGGACACCCGGACTCTCCCTCAGGCCTCCTGCCTGACGCCGTCTTCGGACCAGGAGCGTCTTTCCTGCTGGGTGAGCAGACCGGTCCGGGCCTCGATCAGCCGGGGCCTGACTTCACCGCACCCTCACAGACCTCACCTTACCTCCACCACAATCACAGCAGCCCCTACCATCACCGCGCTGCGCCGCATCCCCCCGCAGCCATGGCCCTCAGAAACGACCTGGGCTCCAACATCAGCGTCCTGAAGACCCTCAACCTGAGGTTCCGGTGCTTTTTGGCCAAAGTGCACGAATTAGAGCGCAGAAACAAGATCTTGGAGAAGCAGCTGCAACAGGCGCTGGATGGCAACAAGGGCTGTCAGGGGGGATGCTGTGAGAGCAGGGCGCACACCCAGGAGGCCGGTGTGCAGACTGGATTTGTTGGTACCATACCGCTCAGGCCCGGTTCCCTCCCCTTCCACAACACCAACAACTCAGCCAGGAGGCCCACAACACTGTTCACACCACCTCCCACATCAGCCGCTGAAAACACCAGTTCAACCCAGACAAACAGCAGTAACCCAGCCATCACCATCAGCCAGTCCTCCCCCTGTGCCGACTCCCCTGGCTACAGCTACAAGGCCTTCCCAGGCAACTCCACCAATCCCCCCCCACGGTTTCTTCCTGGCACCATCTGGTCCTACAACCACACTCGCAAGTTTGGACCCAGTGCGGAGCGTCTGACCAGCCCAGGGGTGTCCTGGGTGCACCCGGATGGAGTTGGGGTCCAGATCGACACCATCACCCCTGAGATAAGAGCCCTGTATAATGTCCTGGCCAAAGTGAAGAGGGAGAGAGACGAGTACAAGCGCAGGTAAATGGAACAAAACACTTTTATTACACGTATAACAGGCCTACAGAGGCATTTCTCACTGGGTGTGGGGGGTGACTAATGCTCCACTCTGGAGGAATGAGCAGAGCAGTAAAGCAGCTGCAGGCCAGCCGTCTCCAACGGGAGCAGAGTCAGCACAAAGCCTCTCTCCATCCATCACCTCCAGCCTGACCCTGCATCCGCTTCACGTCAGACCGCAGAGGCAGGTGCTGCTGCCAGAAATACACCCCAAAAATCCACATGTCACATGCTAAATATAAAGATGAAGGTCGGGGCTTAGCTGGGGTGTGTGAGGATCAGTCTGAGAGTTGACTTTAGTTTACAGGAGTATTGAGGAAAATCCCTCCGAATATATGGAAGAAGCAAGTGTCTTAAGATAATAAAAATGCTGGTGGTTTGCAGACTGTTTGCAGTCAGGCTGTGAATAACAAAACAAACCCATGATGCTTCTGCAGCACTTGTGACTTACCTGGGAATTAAAGAGTAACAGTTCTAAACCTCTGAGCTTAATATGATCAGTCGGCTTCTCAGAATTATTTCACCATCCAATGATCTTATTTTTCAGTAATTTTTTAAAGCAAAATACGAAACCTTCACTTGTCCCATATGCAAAGGTTTTGCTGTCGTTCTTTATCATATGATGTTCAACTGCATGTTTTTTAGGAATTGGGAAAGAAACAATTTATTTGAAGATGTGTAATCTCAAGATACTCAATAACACATTAATACAAATTTGATTGCAGCACCAGATCAAATCTGGAGGCTTTGATTTCCACTTTAGGGCGGCAGGTGAATATAAGAGGGAACGAAGACTTGAGACTAAAATCATTTCAGTACGACACTGTCAACTCTTCTTATGCAGGATTTCCACGATTGTTGGAGAAGAAGAACAGTTCATCGTGAAGAATGTTGCGGATGATGTATTTTCTGTCCTGAGTGAGCTGCAGTACGCTCATGTCCCAGCACAGTCAACAATGAATTCCTTCATATTATGTCCAAATGAGCAGCCATGCATTCTCCACAGAGGAGATTGTGACTGCAGTATTGTGGACTCCTTGTGAATGAGAGCGTGTGACAGCAGACTCATATTTAAGAGCAGATGATTTACTAACATTGTTGTTTTGTTTCTTGTACAAGTGTGTGACGTCTACAATTCCACCTTTTTCCATTTAGGACAACTCCTCTTCCTCCCCCTTCCCCTGCGTTATCCTCCCTCTGTCGCTGCCCTTCACTCTGTCCACTCTCAGGGTCTTTTTTTTTCTCACGTAAACTGGGCACATTCCCACACAGTGAACTCTTCTTCTTCCTCTCCCTCCTTCTGGTACTCCTCTCTCCCTCTGCACACCACCCTCAACTCTCTCTCTCTCCACTCCAAACTGTATCTGCAATGCACCATGCCCTGCAAGCTGTAACTGCTGAATGGGGGGGGGGGCTTGGCTTGCAGAAGGAAGCACTTCTCACCTTACTGATCAAACAAGCATCCTCATACGGCAACAACAACAACTCCAGATACATGACTCAGTTTCTTTTAGTATTCCCTATAGGTGTCTATGTGCCGCAGCGTTCTGCATTTCAAACAGCATTTATAAAACAGGCTGCAGTCTCTGCAGTCTACCCCACCCCCCCATGCATGTGTGTTATGTGAGGTGACAAATTCTGAGATCACATGGGGGGGGGTGCGCTCCAGCTTTTAAATGTATTAAAGTTCAGGTTCATGGGTCAAATGAGCATGAATCAGCAAATCCCTCCACACACTCACGTTGCCTCGTGCAGGCTGTATCTGGTCAGCACCCTGGTATGATTGAACTTCACCACATTCACATTTTGCACACCCAGATTAAAATCCAGTTTTTATATTAAAACCAGCACCTGATGTGTGTTTTATTCACTCACAGACCAACACAAGCTCCCAATAAACTTTAAGAGCAACTTTGGGTTCAGTGCCTTTTTTTAAGGACATGAGACGTGGACTAGAAGAGCTGAGGATCAAATCACCAACCCTGAGTTTAAAATCACATTTTTATATTTCCTTACTTTAGGTGAAGATGTCATTGTCAGTGTGATGCAGCCACTCTGGTTGGATCTTTTTGCAAACGCTGTCTCCTTCCCTCTACGTCTTTCATGTGCCACTTAACATCTGGACAGATGCCTTTTAGGTTTAATCAAATTCTCCGTTAGCGCCACTAAGGAGGTCCTCTTTTCACTCCTGTTCCTTTGTGTGTAAGCGAGATGACACAAAGCACCTGGACGGATTTCCACGGAACTTGGTGGAAGGATGTAGAATGTTTTGGGAAAGAACCCAGACATTCACAGAGAATAATTCATGAATCTTGATGAAAAAAATCTGATTTATTTAGTAACTGATAACTCGGAGTGTGTGTGACTTGGTGCAGCTTTACTGCATTTAAGGGGACTGTTGGGCCTTGGCAGAGGTATGTGCTCTACTGAGTGTCATTCTAGTTCTTACAGGGTCTTTCGTCTTCTTACGCCTGTCTTTCCTGAACACGTCCAGAAAATGCATCATGATCAATCAGACACAATACTACCAATATAATGTGTGTCTGCTCTGTGTTAGTTCTGTTCTCTGTCTGAATTCAGATTCTAAAAAATATTTACTCTCTGTGTCTGTGTCTCTTAGATGGGAAGAGGAATACACCATGAGGATGGATCTGCAGCAGAAGATTGCAGACCTACAAGAGGTAACATTAAGTAGAAAAAATAACCCATATGCTTAGTGGGATCACAGACTGTATATAAAGACGAGGACTTTCCAAAAATGAAGCTTAAATATCCAGAATATCCAGAATTTGGAGCCAGAATCGATGCAGTTACGATGGGGGGGTTGGAGCCCCAGTGTTAAGGTCCTGTTGATACACATGCTGGACCAATCAGGCGTCAATTATTCGTCACTAATTAAAACCAACCTTGCAGGAAAAATTGGATCTTAAGCAAAAGATCTTCCTAAAATGACAGAAACCATCTTGGAGTAAAACATTTTTATTTGATGTGGACTCTTTAGTTTGGTCAATGTCCCCTCCATTAACATGGAGGAGACATTGTTTATGACTTATACTGTAGACAGCCACCAGGTGCCAATCGAGAGGCTCTGGTTTCACTTTCTGGTTAAAATATCTTGTTAAAATATTTTCTTGATCACTTTAGTCACTGTTGAGCAGGAAGCTCTCACCCTTTTGTTAACACTTTTAATTTCCTCTGCACAGGAAGTACACAGGCTTTTTAAGATCTCCTGTTGCACCCTCTCATAAGTGTTTTTTCTTTGACCACTACCCATCTCATTTAATAATATCGAACACATTTTTTTGAACCAAGGATGGCTTGGTTTTTATCTTCTTTCAGGTGTCCTGCAGTTATGTCTTTATCAACCCATCGTTTTGTTGATTTCCTGTGTGGGTGGTTGAGTCGGTTAAATTCTCGTGTACCTGACCTCATTTAGTATGCAGCAGGAAACCACAATCAGCAAAACGCCATTTGCGACTGAGGAGGCTCTGACCAGTGTTGCAGCACATATGAATAAGTCAACAGGAACCAGAGTGAATTATGAGGCCGTCAGTCGAATCCAGAGCTCTCCAGAGGAGATCATGCATTCAGGATTTACTACTACTGTGCAGATAGAAGCTTTTATTTTGTTTATGACCTCCGCCTGTATAACGTAACCTGTATTTTCCAGTAAAGACAGAGCTCAGGATAACTGTGTGTGGGTGTGTGTGGGTGTGTGCATGTTTGCGCTTGCTGCTCACATGTATGTTCTGTATGACGTCTTTCATATCTGCAGGACTTGCAGGAGAGCGAAGGCTGCCAGGATGAACTGGCTCTCAGAGTTCAGCAGCTGAAGGCAGAGCTGGTTCTCTTCAAAGGTCTCATGAGCAATGTGAGCACGGAACAACAAATAAACTTGTCTACCTGACATACACACGTTTAGCCATCAGTGGTAATCATCTGTCTCTATGGGTGGACTGTAGCTTGACGAAATATAGGAAATTAATTTGTTAGCACAACTCTGAAAAAACAAGAATCATGATTGTTTGCTTTGAAGTGAGATCCAAATTTTCTCTCGTCATTTAGTCGACCACTTCAATTATTTGTATTTTACTCAAAGTTTTCTCCACTTTTCTGTGAGTCGTGGTTTTCTGCCACTTTGCCAGTGCTTGAGGGAGAAGGCAAAGGAACTGCAGCATCATGTGGTGCTTCAGGCTCTTTGGAAGGAAGTAGGAGCGCTTGTTTTGATACAGCGGATGTCCCAAATAAAAATTCAGCACTATCCTTGTCAATCAGATTTCATATAGGTGTGAATTGAGATCATGATTCTACTACAGTTAATTATGCAGCCCTACTTTCTAGCCAACAAAGAGTTGTTCATGTAGAAAATGTCACTCACTCAGGCTTCATCAGTACTAAGAATAAGTTGAAGTTGACTAACTTATTTTTTCTTCTTAGTAAACTTTTTATTTCATTAGAAAGACCACTCCAGTGGACAGAGTGCCATTTCACAAAGTGTTGCCATAAGGGTTCATTCATCTGAGTCAGTGGTAGATTTTTCTAAGTGTTTCCTGTCTCTTCTTCCTCGTCTCCTCCGTCCTCTCTGCAGAACCTGTCCGACCTGGACAGTAAGATCCAGGAGAAAGCCATGAAGGTGGACATGGACATCTGCCGCAGGATCGATATCACCGCTCGTCTCTGTGACGTCGCTCAGCAGAGGAACTGTGAAGATGTGATCCAGATGTACCAGGTGACAGGACTAAAACCGACCACGTCATGCTCTTATCTCTTTTTCTATAAAAATGTATTTACTGATAACGATGAATCCTGAACATGCGCCTGCAGGTTCCTAACAGCCAATCATCCTTGAACTGCCGCCGGAAACACACCCCTCTGTCGTTTAACGGGAGCGAGTGCGACGAACCTGTGAGCACCACCGAAAGTGAGGGACGCGTGGTCAGAGACGAGGAGCATTGTGGCTCATCGGCCAATCAGATCAATGAGGAGATGCAGAGGATGCTGAACCAACTGTGAGTGGTCTGACTGTGAAATGTGATGATGTAACACAAGCGTCCGTCAGTCCTGCACTGCCACTAATTACCTCCGTGTCTGTGTGTGTGCGTGTCTGTGTGTGTGCGTGTCTGTGTGTGTGCGTGTCTGTGTGTGTGCGTGTCTGTGTGTGTGCGTGTCTGTGTGTGCGCGTGTCTGTGTGTGCGCGTGTCTGTGTGTGCGTGTGTGTGCGTGTGTGTGCGTGTGCGCGTGTGCGTGTGTGTCTGCGTTTTCTAGGCGTGAATGTGAGTTTGAGGATGACTGTGACAGTCTGGCCTGGGAGGAGACTGAAGAGACGCTGCTTCTTTGGGAGGACTTCCCAGGATGCACTCTGCCTCCTGACCCCACCCACCCACCAGGAGAGGTAAATTGTGGCTACATAAATATGTTCAGTGAGGTTTTTTGTGTTTTGTCTGTAATCGGAATGGACACGATCTGTATTCGCTCCCACGTCGGGTTTTATTCTGCTGTGGTGCAGCTTGATCGAATTTAAGGGGACTGTTGGGCCTTGGTGGAGATATGTGCTTTCGTTAGTGCTGTTCTAGTTGCTCATAAATCATTTATGCCTGATGCAGTGAATGTCTTATCAGTCTCAGACGCTGAGAAAGTAAAAGCGGTGGGTTTTCAGACTCTGCTTTCTTCAGTTGTGTGCAGACACTATTGTTGGTTGGAGCTGATGTGAAGAGCAGGAGGTTGATTTGTTTGTCGATACAGTTTTATCTCTGGTGATGACTCCTCTGATTCAGCTGCATCTCTTGACCTTCACGGCTCCGCTGGGACTGGGTCATTTCTGGACACACACACACACACACACACACACACACACACACACACACACACACACACACACACACACACACA